GATAACCAAGGTACGTGCATGCTTGTATAATAAACATAATACCTGAAAAGGAGTAGGTTCACGAAGGGTTAAAATTGGCCCTAAGATTTTGATGTTTTTTTAATCAGGCCAAAATAGTACAAATTTCACATAGAAATAGTTGTGATATTACTATCAATACAAAATAACTTCCTTTTGGCACATCACATTAAAAATGACGAAGTATTGAATCTTTAAGTATGCATTATTTGTGTTGTAACATCAGTTTTGGTTAAATTTTCAATAATTCTTAACAGTTTTTTGCATAATTTAGTTTGGCTGCCACCAATGATCTAGAAAGTTTTTGTGTCTATGGATTCATTATCACATTGGCAACTTTTGGCTACAGAACATTTTGGATCCTAGGTTGCGGCCAAGGGTTTCCTCTAGCTTTTAGTTACGAACAATGCACAAAATCATCGTATTTTGACAATATATCCAAAATGTGCTGATGCTGAAGCCAAGAATGTACTCTTATAAAGGAATTTATTTTAAAAAAGAAGTAATGCTTTTGAAATAGATCATTAAAAACCAAATTATCGAAATTTAAAAATTTTAAGATAAAGTTGAAATTCAAGGCCATATTTGGCCTAAAGTTAAACTTGTCCTTTGGGTGTTTGTCGAGTATATAATTATGCGGATTTTACAACTTATGAATGCACTACGAATCAGACAAATATGATGTACGCATGGAAATCTCGTCCCAACCTGCTGAATTCCGATAATTTCCATGAGGAATTTTAGGTCAATTTCAAGAAGAAGAAAACACCTTGTCTGCATTCATCCTTCATTTACCATGTAAATTTCTAAATATTTTTGTTGACATACAACTTTGATATATGAAATCAACAGTATTTTTCTATTTGATTTGTGTAATATGTTATTATAAGTGCCATAAATAAAGGCAACAATAGTATACCGGTGTTCAAAAGTCATAAATCGATCGAGGGAAAACAAATCCATAACCAAGAAGTTACACTCGATGTGTTTTTTTCATCAACAATAAGCAGTTATACATTACTTAACTATATATTTTTTCTATGGGGTACACATGAATTAAAACACCACAACTAATCCCTGCTATCAATGTGCATCATAACATATCAGGTTACAGGTGCTCCGTAAGGTTGGGCAGATACTGCTCTACTAGTTACACCCGTCATATTGTTCATGGCAGGTAAAGTTCGGTTTCAGTCGCATTATGCGATTACATAATCGAGGAATAGGGGACTGGATTGTGGCATCGATATTAAGAACATACCCGTAAGCATTTGTGACATAGGTATTCAATAACGATCAAATAATTATGGCGTTCGTTTAACTCTCGGAGAGATGACCTCAATTTTTCCAATATGATACCTTGGTGAAATAGCCTTCTTAAAACGGTTTAGAAATAGATATGCACACAGACATTTACTTTCATATTGTATAAACAAATGTGAAAAAAGCACACAGACATTTATTGTCATGTTGTATAAACAAATATGAAGACAACGATCTCCTCTTTGTTTAAGATGATTGCTTAGGAAACTAAACGTTTCCCCAAAATCAGAGGGTGCCAACCTGCACTTAAATCCTTACAGTAGTCATTTTCATCACGTAAACTACAGTCCTTGGATGGTGTAAACTTCCCACTAACACCATTCACCATTACATCATTCACCATAGAACATTACATCATACACCCTGTGCCATTACACCATACACGTTACACCTTTGCACCATACACCTTACACATTACACCATAATGCAATTTAATTTCAAAGAAAGCGTGCGACTACAAAATTATTCATTTATTTCAAAAAACGAATTTTGATCACAATATTGTAAATTAATGTATAAAATTAAAAATCAGTTCTTATCAATATTTTGCATAGTTTTAAATGTCGTACACCATTCATTCACACCATTCCCGATCGCACGTTACACCATTACACCATACACCATAGCACCATACACCTTCTACCATTGCACCATATGTCATACATCATTACCTCATACACGTTTTTTTGGGAAGTTTACACCATCCAAGGGCTGTAAGATCTAACCAGTTGTTTTACTTGTACGTCATAAAAAAGTATAATCAACATACGATATATTTTAGTCCCAAGATTTTGTGAAAATTGGTACCCACTTAATATTATAATTACATCATATGTAAGGTCCCTCTGAAAATACACCGTGCGTTAGTCGAATTAACTGAGCATAACACTTGATAAATTTCCGACGCCCGAAGCGCTTTTTAAATTGTTTGATTAAATTATCTTACCAAAAGACGTTGGATGGAGCATTCCACCTTTAACACCTTGAACAAAGTTGGTGTTTAATGCTTTCATCCTTGTGTCTTTAGTTTCTGTCCACAGCCTTTCACAGAAATCGTAATCATTACATGGTTTGTCGGAAAGTGTACACTGTAGAAGTTTACTGACGGCAGCGCCACTGACACACCTTGGACTGGCTTTCCACATGACTTATCACAATAAAGTTGCTTTGCGAAACTGGATGGAGTGTGTAATATTTACAATTAGATAATATTTAGCTAAACTGTTTTGATATTGGAATTGGAATTTAAATCCTGTTTTACGCTAGTTTAAAAATATCTGTATGTTTAAATGTTAAATTTGGGAAAAACCAACATTTACATATTCAGTACAAAATCAGTGTGTTATTAAAGCCCTCGTCACACTAGACCAAGACCATGAAGATCCCACTACGGTCAATAAAAAATAAGATCGCGGTGAGATCGCGGTGACATCGTGGTATGGTCGGCTTGAATATTCAATATTTCATAGTTTTCAAGTTCATACCGCGACCTTGCTATAATCCTGATAAGATCCTGCTACGATTCCGCTTCGAAAGTAACACGTTCTAGTTACGATCTTGTCACGCTCTTGCTATGTCTAATAAGACCTTACCACGACTTACACGATCTCCGTACGCTTCTACCAAGACCTTCCCGATCGCATTACGATCTCAATACGACTCCACTACGCTTCCAATAGGTTGTCACTACGCTCTAGAATTATATGGCTTCATCAAATAAGTTCTCAACTCAAATGCGTCGTCATCCACTCCAAGATGAAGTATGACATGTTCAGAGCGTCATTCGGTAAGGAATCTGTTTCTGTAAATCCAACAGTCTTATCTTCAAAACACTCCGTTAATTCTGCCGCGTTGCGTTGTAAACCTGGGCGTCCGACATGGAACCATATCCTCCTACATCTATCCATAAAAAATTGTAGTCTGTATCCACCAAGGAAACGAGCACTCATGAAAATAAACCATTATAGTTATGAAACAAGGATCCGCTTTTAGGCGGCCTTCTAATAGCAAATTGCTTTCCATCGAGTGCGCCACAAGCGTGTGGCACGTTTCATCTTCTCTGAAAATCGTTTGGTTCTGTTGGACAGGATATGACTTCATCTTTATATTCCTGTACAATTGCCTGGCAAACCTCAGGAATAAAAGTACTTATGGTATTGCGCGACTCTGAAATCGTAGTGAACGGTTGGATACCTATCGCCAGAAGTTTAGTGCCTTTCTGAATGGGGTGTCTATCTTTTGAATTCGAGGACTTACTCTGTTCAAAAGTTCATCAAACATTTCTGGAGGCATCCTAAAAAATCAAAGAATGACTGTTGATCCTCCATCCTTAATTCTTCCATAAGTCGGACGTAATGCCCAAACTGGAGTCTACTTTCAACAGAAAGCCAAGGGTGCACCCAACAGGACCTAAGCTGTCTAGTATGTCTTCTCCTACAAGTGTAGCCTGACCAGCCAAAATCGACACAGTGCAGCTGAATTAAAGATTACAGAAGTAGGTTTTGCTCATGTGTGTCCATGTTGAAACTACAGGTAGAAGTTATTGCATCCGTTTATTTTTATATCAACAGAATGAGGTGCAATTATCGTGGCTAGGACGTAGTAGTATCGTAGTAAGGCCGTACTAAGGATGACAAGCGCGTAGTAGCAGCGTACTTATATCGTAGTAAGGTCGCAGCGAAATCTTTTCCATTGGCTTCCCGATTGCACCACGATTTCCAATACAATGCTTCTACGCCCATCCCGATCTTACTACGTCCTAACTACGACCTTCCTACGCTTCAACTACGACAAGTGTTGGCCACGACTGCACTACGAATGTTTTGAGCATGTTCAAAGTTCGTCGGGACCTCCAAGATCATGAAGACCTTGGCACGTACTTACCACAACCACCACGATCTTACTACGACTTCCAAAATTTTTCATAATTTCTGAGGTTGTAGCGGAATCGTGGTCCTAGTGTGATGGGGGTATTAACACTATTTCTCTTTCTTCATGACACAATTTTGTTCATTTGGCAATTATTTTATAAATAGTAAAGGAAAATTTATGAGTTCAGTTAAAATTGTATCAATTCTCCAAATCAAAGAATGTAAGCAAAATCTGCATACTAGTTTCTGGAAAATAATCTGTGACAAATTGCATCCCATCGTTGAAATATGACCATCACCTCTTAAACAAACTGCAAGTTCATAAGTTTAAAATTCCTTCAAACAGTTTCAAAATAACAGAACTGCCATATAAACTGCAAACTTCCAAAAATACACAAGTAATTTGTTCTTCACGAAATTTGCATAATTGTTTTTTTTAATCTATAGTAATAACAATAAGGATAACAATTCAATTCTAATTTTGTTGCAATTAGCAAATATAAAAAAAACCTACTAAATTTTGACACGCATTTTCGCACAAAATACGTATAAAATAGTAAAATAAATAAGCGTTAAAAATTAACATGAAATTAATTTTAAGATTTCGGATAACATGTTTTGAATATCAAATAAATTGTTCTTGTTTAATAGTACTTCCCCCAACCCACCACACATACACACACATTATTATATTTCCCTTATGTTAAGATGAATTAAAACTCAAATGTCATTTTAATATGATTACCTGAATGTTAAATACACGTTAACAAACTAAATGTATGATCTTACCTACTGCCAAATAAGTTTACAAACTGCACACTCTTCCCTATCCTTTTACATGCATAAAGTGTAACGTGTAGGATATGAAACTCCTTTCCAATAAAGGGTTACTTTCATCTTCGAGGAAAAATTATGACTCCTTTAGTACAATTGTCAATTTTCCAGAAATACATGTAAACGAATTCCGTTTAAAGGGTTCATACAAGTGCATCTTAAACAGGATGTTTTGACGAGTTTAACGAGAATAATTGAAATGTCAAGGTTGAAATCTTCGTCATCTAATGATTTATTGTAAATATAAAGCTATATTGTTAGTGTTATGTTATACTGCTGATTAATTATTTTTAGACTGAGCGAAGAAAAATAGCCGAAAAATAATAGGAACTATTTCTTTTTATAGTAAAGAAGTCGTTAGAAGAATTGAGTGTCTAGCTTGCTATTGCATGAGTTGTAGCATTACCTATCGAGAAGTATCATACCTATAACTCTGTCTTTTGTGTAATTTTAAACAATTAATTGCAAGGACTTTACGCTCAAGCCAAAAAAAAAAATGAATACATGGATAAATAAACGGAATCTCTGCAATTTAAAATTTTCTAGCTCGGGAATAGATTATCTTAGCTGTAGTTGGTAAAATCTTCAGGAATTTTGAGTCCTCAGTTCTCTTTCAGCTTCGTACTTTATTTGACCTTTTAACTTATTTGATTTGAGCCACACTGAAGAGTCTTTTGTAGGCGAAACTCTCGTCTGACGTACAAAATTATAAGGCTGGTATCTTTAATGAGTTTTTATGAACGTGTCGCGCATCTTATCTATTGGACAAAATTGTCTTAATTATGAAAGGAATGCAGAATTTGCTTAAAAAAGTGTCAGTTCTCTATTTTTTCTTTCTTTTCGTTTTAATTAAAACTTACAAAATATGCATTCAATTCTTCTGTTAACAGACTAGTAAATAAGATAGCTATGACTGAAACATAAAATACCATAAAAAAAATAGAATATAAAATATAAAATACCATACAAAATGAAAACAACACTTTATAAATTGCATGTATATATTGCTTTTTTTCTGGATTTACCTTCATCAGGAACGACCAAAGCCGAATATTTGAAAGTTAAAATTTACCTAAAAACAGCCAAATGCATCTGAGGTCAATTTTGCCCGAGGGAGTTGTTACCCTAGTTTCTTTATATTTTCAAAATTTATAAACGAACAATAACAGAAAGTTTTGTTATAAATCATGTCAGTACCGAAGTACTGATTACTGAGCTGATGATACCTCGGGGAACTGATAGTCCACCAGCAGCGGTATCGACCTAGTGCTGTAAAAACTGAAAACATTTATAAATTATAAATTAGGCCGTTAGTTTTCTCAATTGAATTGTTTCATATTTTTCATGTCGGGGCCTTTTATAGCCGACTATACGGTATGGGTTTTTCTCATTGTTGGAGGTCATACGGTTGCCTATAATTGCTTACATCCACTTCATTTGAACTTTGATGGATAGTTGTCTAATTGGCAATCATACCACATCTCCTTATTTTTATAATTTATAAATGTCATGCGTACGAAGCGCTTTTCTGGATTTACCTTCATCAGGAACGCGTAAAGCCAAATATTTGAAAGGCCACGGATGTATAAGAACCGAAACAGTTCAAGAGCTGTATGACCAAAAAAAGGACCTGAAAAAGCCAAATCCATCCAAGGCCAACTTTGCCTGACGGAGATAAAACATTAGTGTCTTTATAATTTCAAAATTCATAAACGGACAATTTTAGAACGTTTTGGTTATAAATCATGTCAGTACCGAAGGACTGATAACACCGGGGACTGCGAGCATAAATAGTCATAGTATCATAGAACACAGAACACTTTAAATTTGCAAAACACTCATTAACAAATCTAGCGAGCTTATTTTAAAAAGACACAGTGACAAGGAAAATATCCAAAATGTGCAGAAGAGGATCTAATAAAAGCCAACTTTTTAAGCCGCATGCTTTTTGGCACTTTCAGTTTAAAAACAACGTGTTTTGGTGTGTTGTGTACAATCCTAAGGAGTTATTTTTCTGTCATGGGGATAAAATAAACATCGCATGGAGTGAAATTGAAATTATTCTTTTAGTATTGGCATATATAACTTTCTATGCCTATATCGTGTCTTGAATTCTATGTCTTCGTATATGCATGTTTCTCAATTCAGCCTTCAGATACTGTATGTTATCTTCAATCAAATAATTCATGTAAAGATACATCTAGAAAAGTATGGCACCCTGTATATAAAAAGGAGGCATAGTGGTATGTGGATTTCTTTGTCTTTTGTCTTTCGCATTTTGCCATGGGTTGTCAGTTTCTCTTCGACGTATGTGGTTTAATATCACTTTGTTATCTTCCGCATACTAGTACTTTTTAAGCTTAATAATACATTCATATAACAAAACTATATAGTTGGAAAAATGTAAACTTTTTAGGGGTAACTGTTAGGTCAACATCAAAAGTGTCAAGAGAAAAAGATATTTAATAGGTCAAAATGTTAAAGTAACAATGTCATAATTTTTTTATTATTAATCGCATGTGTAAGATATTGAATAAGTTTTTTTCAATGCATTAATGTACACGTATTTTACATGTTGCTGAATTGGACATATAACATTTAGATCGTTTATAAACTAGTTAAGTACTATTATCCGTCCACTGCTCAAATCCAAAAATAAGTGATTTAAATGGTCAGTAATTGTTATTATTTTGTAAACAAGATGAATTGCTGTCAAAATATAGGATAATGGTGTAAATCGGGTGTAGTATCTTAACAAGTAATAGTAAAAATCTTTTAACATCGTTCATGTTGTTATGTTTTGCATATTTATGTAGAGAATTGGATCATACTATAATTGTTGAATTAAGAAGCTGAAGTGAGTACTTTTTTATAATCAAGAAACATATGTGTATAAAATATTAGAAAATACAAGGAACAGCACAGGGGCGTAGCTACCTTCTTAATGAAGTGGAATCACAAACTAAAGGACGAGGGGCCTGGGGGCCACCTAAGGCCCCCAGTAGGTCCAGGGCAAAGCCCTGGTAGGGGGCCAGGGGGGCGAAGCCCCCGGAAGCTCCGCATATATAGCGTTTCAAAACAATCACAACCGAAATAAAACTTGGACATTTTTGTTGTGGTTTTTTTGTCAACTATTTGTTTAACTTCGAGTCGAATGAAGACTTAACATTGTCGTTTGCATTTTTTGTACGTGAAAGCTTTTAAAATCACGGAGATTTGTTCCATATGCTAGTATCTGTATTGAGCAAAGTAGATTTAAAAAGAACAAACAATAAACATAAACACAATACTATATGTGGAGTTTCTGTTAGCAAAAACATTATTGGATACCAAATACTTGGTGGACACATTCTCATATTTTTTGCTTAACATATGTATTTAGATGTTAAAAAATTTTGTGTGTAAACTCTACTAGAGAGAGATGGGAATTTCGAATTTTACGTAGTTAGGAATATTCGAAGTTGAAATTAATGAACTTTTTCAGAGGAAATGGTACTTTGATCACGATCTTTTTCATGATCTGCGTTTTTTAATTAGCCAGCTAATTAACAAATGCATATGCATTCGACCAGTTGTATGGCAATATCTAGATGATAACAGTGAAGATACGTGTAATAAAAGTTTGGTGTATCTTTCGAACAAGAATCAGCAGTTAATTATAAGTGTCCGACTCGGACAGAAAGTTCTTTTTAAAATTGAATGACCTAATAGTCCAGTAAAACGAGTTAGAATTAACAATTGATTTAAATACTTTTACAATCAACCATTCGTATAGGCGGCCCATATAGAAACGACTTCGAATTATCGAATCTATGTAACAGATTATTTTGTAAAATAAATAAAACCGTAATACATGTACTGGAAAATGTGTACTTTTTTTTATAATAACAGGAGTTCCAACTTCTCATCTACTAGTATACGTAAAATATTGATTGATTGAATTGTTATTAATGTCCGGTAGCAAATATTACATACACACAGGACGAGATACGTTGACGTGATGTGAAAATGAACTCTTCGTGTTGTCAAGACCTACATAATTAGTCAATTTTGAACTAGTTCACAAGGTAACAGTCATTATTCCCGGATCGATACGAGTTGAAGAGTCTTCATTCTAGTAAGATGTGTGCTTTGGGGCGAAGCGGAAAGTAATCATTTTCAAGTTTTTATGTTAACCCTAAAGGGATTATGTTTTTGTTTGCACTCAAAGCGAGTATACGTTATGGTTGTGGTACCGACAACTATGTAGCTGGTAATTTCTAAACAATGCCCGTAATATAAAAAGTTCCGCTAAGTTTACACCAGTTGTATGTATTTATCGTACACATACATGTCTTATTCCGCTGCATGTGTATTCCTCTTGCTTTTATTCTTTGTGTATTTTTTAAAATGCATACATAGAAAGACCAATCCCTTAACTTTGTCCCTCACTCTCTCTCTCTCTGTGTTTTTTTTTGTTTTTATTGTGAAAACGACGTGGATGCACGTGCTGCTGTGCCTCCGGGTAACTACGCCCCTGCAGCATAAAGCGAAAAAAAGACAGTATGACCATAAGAAAATGATGAAAAGATTCTTAAACTTCCTAACTTATGTAGCGCTTTAACCTTTTTGATTCGAGCGTCACTGATGATATGATCTTTTGTGCACGAAACGCGCGTCTGGCGAACAAAATCATACGCCTGGTATCTTTGATGAGTTTTTTTTTACACAAAAGGTTTCAAAATAAGATATTAAGTAGGTTTATAATTGTACAATTTTTATTTATATTGACAATTGAGGGACAATAAATATATCTGCAGTAATATTGACAGCGTTACTAGTTTACTTTTTAGCCAATTTGCTCACTAGTAACCTTTAATATCTGCAAATGTTTTATTACTCATGTATTTATAAATATAAATTCCTTATATAATTTGCCTTGTTTGTTTTATTTCCATAATAAAATTTTGAACCAAGAATGAACTAACTTTCAGTTAATAACTGGTTCGTCCATAAAACGACATCTTATTTTATTTTTTATCAATCGGTGGTCTTTATCCCACAGTCAAGAACTATGATATCGGGTCACATCATTACTTACTATAAACATAAAAAATTGTGCGCATTGCCTTTCTTTACCACTGACGAAATATAGTTGAATTAGTCCTAAGCAAAATTCCAATAGGCAACATATTTGTTTCGTTTTAGTTATGGGTTAAAGGCAGACCCAGAAATCTTTATATGCGGGCAAAAATAGTTAGGCAAAGATTTCGTCTAGTGCACACTAGCAAAATCATTTCAAGGAAATGACGGGATATTCTAAATTCTTTATCGAATTTGTCGGCTTTAAATAGGCAAAGAATAATTAATTAATAGACACTTAACGTCCAGTGTCTAATATAACATGCATAATCAGGACGATGAAATGAAATATATAAAGCTACTCTTAAAACAAATCTTAGGACTAGTCCAACAGGCTGAGTCGGATTTTTAACAGTCTGCAATTAGACAATTCATTCTACCTGGAAGCATCTTTTCACTCCGAGCTGGCCAGTCTTTGTTCCTACTCTTGTCTGCTGCGTGCTTGGCGGAGTAACAGTTAATTCTTGTCTAAGTCTTTGATAATACCCGATGGGAGATCTGACCAATTACAGCTTGCAGTCGAGCCAATCACATTACCATGAGATCGCCGAATGAATTAAAAAGGGGGGAGAAGACACGTATCAAAAGAGGGTATTCAAAAGCCATGCTATAACGCAAAGAAAAAAAGACAGCACCATGACCAAGATGGTGATGAAGAATGGCTGTTTAACTTCCAGCGGCAAGTTAAATGAATATTCAGGACGAGAAGATCCTAATGTAATATGAAAAAATTAAGCCTGCTTTGTACTAGACCCGCTCGCTGAGCCGGATTTTTAACGTGCTAGTTCACAAGATGATGATGATGAATGATTGTTTAACATACTGCGGCAAGTTAAATGCATATTCAGGACGACAAGATGCTAATGTAATATGAAAATTAAGCCTGCTTTGTACTAGACCGACTCGCTGAGCGGGATTTTTAACTTGCTAGTTCAAAAGGTAGTAGTCTGCAGGAAGATAATCATCCTACCCGGACTCATTATTCTGACTCCAAGCCTACCAGTTTTTGTTCTTACTCCTTAATTCCGCGTGCTTAGCGGAGAATTCGAAGCAGCAAATACAAATGTTAGTCTTTTATTTGACACGGCCGGGGTTCGAACATGAGACCTTTGGCACTCGATGCGAATCGCTACCACGCATCCACCGAGGAGATACCATTACCAAGACAAAGAATACGAATAAGTAAAAAGTTTTAAATGTGTTTATTTTTCCGTTCCGGTTTTAATGATTTTGAAGTCATTGACTGTCTTTGTAGTGATAATTATTACGAATTAAAAATTCCAAATCTTTATACAAATTTATCTGTTCATTACAAAAATGTAGCTATAGGGATCTTGCTATACAGATGTATTGCGTTTAATCCTTTCGAAAGTGCTGATTTTCTGTTCTCTTTCATATTGTACATGTGCTTTTGTTTATCTTGCTTTCCATTATTAATTCTTATCCTGTCAAAAGTCCATCAAAGTTATTAGAAGACAAAAAGAATGTACTCCGAGTTATATTCCATAAAAAAATCCATCAAAAACCTTGTAAATTTTTTGGTCAATGATTTCATGCATATTTACTCGATCAAAAAATCCATCGGAAGGAAGACATTGACAAATTGTTTTAAAGAAGACTTTGATCGGTCGTATTAATGGACCTTGAGGCTTGCATGAATAATTAGCGACGTTACAATGACAGCTTCACAATGAGTTCGCAGACTGCATTATGCAAATTAGAGATTTGAAGGTTTCCGTTCCAAGAAAAAAAATCCAAAGCTGAGATAAAAATTCAAAAGTAGCATTATTATATGCATTACGACTTATCATAAAGTTATCAAGATAAGCGGAGAAACTTTTAAAATATATAGAAACATGAACATATGTAAAGTAAACTATGATCCACTAACAATTCAACCCTTATTTTTGTCTGACCTTATATCAACCTATTCGATAAAATACGATCATGAGCCCATTCTGTAAACAATATCATAAAGCTCAAGGCAAAAATGAAGAAAAAAAAAAGAATCATCCGATGGATACACTAAGTACAAGGCAAACCAAAAACGTACATTTCAATAGTAAGTTGAAAGGTTGAAAAGTAGGATTTCAAGATAAATTGTTCATTAGTTTAATAAACGTAACATTCTCTTACAAGCTAAATATAAACGTCCCTTGTGCTATATTTTAAAGTTCAACAAAAGGAATTTTAAAGGAATTGTCATTTCGTCCTTTACTTTAAAAACTCGTTATTTTTATAACTACGACATAATTGATGACCTTACTATCTTTCACAGAGGCGCAGACTATTGATCTTTTCTAGGCGAACGAACAGTCGCAGTTCGTCTGGTAACGCTTACTTTTTTAAAGTGTTGATTTCTTGCATATATTTTTATTCGGAAAGAATGTACCTAGGAAATTGCATTAAAAATATTTTTGTATAAAAGTAGTACATATGTCTATGTAAAATAAAATCTTTTATATACAAATAAGGGGATGTGGTATAATTTCCAATGGAGACAACTATCCATGATAGACAAATATATTGACCATTACAGGGCACCGTACAGCCTTCATTAATAAAAACAAATTATTTCGTATATATATAGTAAAAAGTAAAATATCAAAAATACCGAACTCCAAGGAAAATTCAAATCGGAAAGTCCCTTATCAAATGGCAAAATCAAAACCTCAAACGAATGGAAAACAACAGTCATATTCCTGACTTGGTACAGGCATTTCCTAATGTAGAAAATGGTGGATTAAACCTGGTTTTATAAGCTATCAAAGGCCCCGGATGACAAAATGTGAAAACAAAACTGAAGACCAGATATATACTACAACAATACATGAAAAACAATAATGACAGAAATCAACAAACGGCAACCATAAAAAAAAACAGAGTTTGAACCGGCACACAAAGAATGTCGCGGCGTTAAACATTTTGTGGGCGCTTAACTCTTCCCCTTAAACCTGGGGCATTGCTGTTACAACATAACATAAGAGCAAGTTGTAAACATCAGTCGATCAGTCGGAAAGAGCCGGACTCCGGTCGATGCAAAGCACGCACAACAGATATCAAAAAGGCAAAAGACAAAATGTACCAATCAAATAATTATACCTTTTTTTATATTTTGAAGAAGAAAGAAAAATAAAAAAAAATAACTGTTTATCAAAATTAGTTTACAAATGTAAAGTGGCTACCAAGGAATATCATTCTTTGTAAACTTTGTACAAACTAAACATTAAATAAAATATTTCAAATGGGGTATGTACCATGTGTATGCGATATAGAATCTTCTTGAATATTCCAGAAAGAGAGTTCAATGCATAGACATTCATAATTCAGTCTAAAAAAAATAGAATTCACTCTACTTATTTTCGAGAAATAAAGGATAGTAAATTTTTTATAGATTATAATGGGGGAAGAAATTCTTTGGCGAATAAAACAAAACTACATTTGCTGAAATTAGAGACCGTTTTGAAAGAAAAAAAAGAAAGAATAACTGGGAAACTAATCTACGATTAAGATTAACAAACTCATATCTTTATCGTTTATTCTAGATGAAAAATGTGTTTATTTTGACAGTAAAGGGCATCATTTGAACTACTACGGTCAATTGACAGCCGGCAGACTTTAATCCAGTTTACAGGTTGACGTTCTTTATCGATTTGCAAGTTCGTAATGTAGACCGTCGTCTATTAATTTAATAAAAGTATGTAAATACTACCCCTGATAGGTATACTATACGTTATATTAAATTAGTGAACAAATCAAAATAGCTTGTGAGCTCAATGTGGAACTCGATTGTAATAAGCAAAGTATCATACATTTATATCTGTTACATTTATGCACTACAATTTTGTCATATTAGTATTATAAAAAGTTCTTTAATATGTAAGTTCGTAATGTAGACCGTCGTTTATTTACTATAAAAGTAATTATGTAAATACTACCTCTCGTAGATGTACTAGGTTACATTAAATTAACGTGCACGTATCAAAATAGCTTGTGAGTTCAATGTGGAACTGGATTCTGGTAAGCAATGAACCTGTTGCATTTAATCACTACAATTCTGTCATACTATTCGTATTAAAAGTTATTCATCGATATGGAAATTCGTAATGTAGACCGTCGTCTATTAATAACATTTACATATTAAAGTATAAGTAAATATTCTTCTCATTGATATACTAGATAACACAGAATTATCGTGAACATATAAAATAGCTTGTGAGATTAATGTAGAACTGGACTCTGGTAAGCAAAGTATCATATATTTATATACCTGTTGCATTTATTCACTACACTTTTGTCATATTATTTTAATATAAAAAATTTAACGGATTATGAAATCTACACTTTTTTTGTTACAAGAAGACCTTTACAAAAATATGCTTATTAGGCATGGACATGAAAAATGTTAGAAATTGTTGATTTAAGATTTTTTTTAAGAAGACAAATTGATATAAATAAATCAGTTACTGTTATTTACATTTTACTATCATTAATTGTAACAGGTACAGTGTATTTATATGAATGAGTCGAAAAGACGAGAGACATAAATTGCCTAAAGCAGAGTATATTTCTATTCAAATAACTACAAATTAGTAAATGACCCAATTTCCAGAGTTTAAGTATGGAATTTTTAATGATATATTTTGTTTATAAATTTCGATTTATAAATTGTGTATATTTTCTAAAAAGCTATCGTTGCAATTTAATCCGGCAAAGTTGACAGCCTTTTGATTTTTAAATTCTAAAACACTTTTTATATATTTTTTGACTTTCCAATTCACTCCTCCGTACGTGGTGAGGATCTCGAGCGGACTTGATTGTAACCCTTGGCTAGTTATTACAAGTAGTAAAAAAAATGTATTTTAATGTTTAGGTGTGATAATAAAACATAATACTGGAAAACGTAAAGAATTGAACAACGCCTAAGCAGAAAGACGGAAAAGATTGGTAGAGCAACGAAACATATTCACGGTAAGATTATAAAAGTTTCGAAAAGAAACATGAAAATGATTAACAAAACATCAACACAATCACAGCACAAAAAAGCCAACGTTACTTCGAAAACTTCGGGATGATGTCTAACAGAAACAAGAGCTGTAACTCCGGTTTAAGTTATATATACCATATAAATGGAAGATCTAAGGTTCAAGAAGTACTAGCAAATATTTTAACGGATGGTACCACCATTTTAGCGTGGAAATAGATTCGGAATATTAAATTAGATACAAATTCAATAAACTTATGGGGAAAACAAAATATATATATATATGAAATTATATGCTTTACAACTTATTTCTAAACGGACTATTCATTACGATGCAATAACACAATTTTGAAAATCTTCTTGATATGATAGTTCAATAGCTCACTTCACATAGCCAATTTCGAATTGGAAAGACTGGTTAGGGTGTCTAAAAAAATACACCAAATCCTTACAAGCACTGAACAAACCATAGACAAGGAACAGTACGTGCTTTTGTTGCAGTTCTTCATATCAAAATTGCAAGAAGGCTTTCAACATATAAATCATTTGCTAGATAATGAATATTAATAATCATTTCAAAAAACAAACAACAAAAAAAATTAGTAAAATTCAACAAATTATACTGCAAAGTTTTTTACAGTACTGTCAACGGACCGATAACTTACCCGATGAACAAACTGTTCAGCAATGCAACTTCACATAGACCAAATAACGACCTTCTTGTTGTTAGGAATCAATTTAGATTTGTGAACACAGATGTTAACACAGCTGTCGTCGTTTGAATTATTTTACATTTGTCATTTCTGGGCCTTTTATAGCTTACTATCCTGGGTTGGAACCCCTTTTAAAAATGGCTGGATCCGCCCCTGTTTTCATAATGACATATTAGTAACAAACAGGCGCTTAGCCAGATCGAGATTGCCACATCATATTGGACATGAAGAAAACAAATAGTATACAAATTGTTTTAACTTATAAAAATGGTCCTCTGTCATTAGAATTCTTTTAACTGTTTTTGTAAAAAAAAATTCTGAAACTTCTCGCATGTGGAAATGATATTGTTTTGCCTTTTAACGAACTTCATTTATACATGTTTAGATGTTGCAGACATTTCTTGCTCTACTCCTACTATTTGTGGTTTCCGCGAAGAAGCCACCAAATATTTTGATTATTATTGCCGATGATTTGGGATACGGAGACGTGGGTTGCTTTGGAAACAAAACTATACCGACCCCAAGTATTGATAAACTAGCTAGCCAGGGTGCCAGATTAACTCACCATCTTGCAGCATCATCTTTGTGTACTCCTAGTAGATCTGCGCTGCTGACGGGACGATATCCTGCTCGAACAGGTAGGGATGTAATTAAATGAAATTTAAGATCAAATGCCTAGTTATGCCCATTAGTGTAACCGATTCTTTTTAGTGACAGGGATGACACAGTTTGAGATTTGGGATATAGGGGATAAAAAGTCTGTATGTGGGATATAGGGGTATAAAGTGGGATCTGGGAAAAATAACGAAAAAAATGGAAAGTGGAAAATATTAACAGAAATAGCGGGATTTTGGAAATTAGCATCCCCGTGTCACCCCCGTCATTAGCGTTATCGATACCTATGTGGCACCTAAATATACAAGTTGGTATTGTGCTTACCTCATCATGATATGTTGAGAGGGGTGTGTCTCTTTGTTGTTATTTGAAAATCTAAAAAGAGGGCACAAAGGGATTATATTTTGTGTTTACCATGCAGCTTTGATTCTAAGTCGCCTACAATGGGTAGATTATCGCCGTATAAACATAAAAAAATGTTATTACACCTACCTGTGCAGCAGTAGTATTATTGCACATGATTTCTATGCACATTTCATCATTTACGTTGCTTATTCTACAATTATAGTCAAGAATTGGGTCACTGTACTTGCAAACAAAGAGCAATAATGTGTGGCAAAATTTTTTAATTGAAAAACTCTAACAAATATTGTTTTACAAAATAATGAAGTAGTCCTGTTTTAATCTCTAGTATTTGGGTATAATATTTTTCTATTGCAAGGTATGTAGTACATATGGTAACATGGACTAAATTCAATCCTATAGATGAATAAAATTTATTATAGCCTCTAACATAATATTTTACAGGAATGGTACCTACGCCACCATCAAGAATTGGAATAATTTTATTCCTTGCAACTTCAGCAGGATTGCCACAAAGCGAAGTTACCATTGCAGAACAGGCGAAGTCAAAAGGATATAGAACTGGATTAATAGGTAAATAAATATACATCCTCAATATATATTGTATAACAACCAGAATATGTGTCTATAGGCACCATGCCCCGCTCGAACTATCACATTTGCATTTTCAGAGAAGCGTGAAATCTTTACCAAAACCATTAGTTGACATATAATTAAATAGTCCAAAGGAACATTATATACTTAGTTTCAAGTGGTGTGACCACACACTACATTAGACCAAAACTTTGACCCATCATATTTCCATGTTAAGTGACTAGGTGTACATTCCTGCACGGTTGTGAACACTTCTGGCCCTACATCCTATCGATACTTATATTTTGGAATTGCTCTAGGTCATGCTTTTCACAGACTTAACACTAAATCCGTTTGGTGGGCACTGATTGATATTTAAGTCTTGAGAAGACCGACAGGATTTATTTATTACTTGAAACTAGCGTTCAGCAGATGCGAGTACTCTTAGAACGGTAATTTGTGTGTGTGTTTTGTTTTTTTTTGTTGTTGCTAATTTTGTTTTTGTGTTGGTTAGATTCGTGCCGTTCTAGTGACAAACTATTCTTATGTTGGACTTATTCACCACTGTCGGAGAAAAGGGAGTGCTCACAAAAACGTATACACCAAATCTCTTTTAATTGATTTACAGCAACAATCATTTACTTGCACCGGATGAACAACTATAGAAACTGGACGATCACCACTGTCGAAAAAGAAAGAAAATTCTTATATCATAAATAATAAAATGGAAAGAATATAAATCAAATGAATTGCCTTATTTCATGTGTTTGCAATAACCTTGTATACTATAGAAAATAAAGTTTAACATTTGAAAATCGGCTCTGGTAGTCACTTGGTCACAAAATATTTTTAGCAGTAATCGGTCAAATAATCGAAAAGTGTCAAAATCATAAAAATTTGGAATCGGTCACTGGATATCAGTCCTAAAAGCACCAAATAATTACCAATTAAAAAATGCGAATATTCCCAATGTATATTAAAATGTATACCATAGGCATATTTTAATCTTTTTAATTTGAATGAGTTCTTTATTAAAGGAAAATGGCATCTTGGACTAAGTGAATCAAAATACAACGACAATATATTCCACCCTAATAACCAGGGATTTGATTATTATTATGGTCATCCTCTAACAAACGTAAAAGACTGGTACAATGATGGATCCAGCGTCCTCTTTCACCAAAATCCAAGGACAAACTGGTATGCATTAACAAGTGTTATTGTGACGATGCTTACTATGTATCTTTTTTACAAGAAAGAATACATTGGACTTAAAATAGTACTATTTGTACTTTTTTTGTTGATTCTTTTTTGGTCATATTTTTACTTTACGTTTCTTAATATGATCCTTCTCAACTCGCTGTTATATCGTAATTTAGATATCGTTGAACAACCGATAAATTTAGAGACGTTATCTGAGCGTTATACTAAAGAAAGCATTGAGTTCCTGGAAAACAGCACAAACAATAACGCACCATTTTTACTGGTAGTTAGCTGGAATCATGTTCATACTGCTTTGATTACATCAAAAAAATTTCGCGGGAAATCCAAACATGGTCGCTATGGAGACGCAGTTGAAGAACTGGATTACGGAACAGGACAAATTGTATCTAAACTCGATGAGCTTGGCCTAACAGATGATACTCTAGTTTATTTTACGTCAGATAATGGCGCTCATCTAGAGGAAAGGGGAATGCATGGTGAGATCGACGGAGGAATCAATTCACCCTTTAAAGGTTTGTGTTCGTTTTATAAGTCATGTTTGTGATTGTCTCATTGTATATCACACTATGACAAAAGGCAAAGGTCACCCTGCAGCAGATGGTGAAATAAGGGTCCCAAAATAAATACAAAAAGAACATTGATATCAATGAACTAACTAACCAACACTATTTTTATCCCATTTATATTTTGTTTATATTTTGATTAAAATTAATAAACATTATAGAAACATGTAAACACAACAAAATAAAATAAAATAAACACCATGCAAAATATTTTTTTCATCTTGTCACCATTCTCGTTACATATCGAAAAAAACAACTGCATGCATTGAATCCGTTTGGGTAGATTTATTGTATTGTAAGTTTACATGTTTCTGCATGTTATTAAAAAAAGCCAACTATAAAAAAGAAGATGTGGTATGATTGCCAATGAGACAACTCTCCACAAGAGACAAAATGTCACAGAAATTAACAACTATAGGTCACCGTACGGCCTTCAACAATGAGCAAAGCCCATACCGCACAGTCAGCTATAAAAGGCCCCGAAATGACAATGTAAAACAATTCAAACGAGAAAACTAACAGCCTAATTTATGTACAAAAAATGAACGAATAACAAATATGTAACACATAAACAAACGACAACCACTGAATTACAGGCTCCTGACCTGGGACAGGCACATACATACAGAATGTGGCGGGTTTCTTCACTTGAACATCTCATTGGTCTTCCAATACCAGTTTAAAATTCTTGATATTCTTCTACATTATTTTTTATAAAAATTTAAGTTAAGAATTCGTTAAATGCTTCGTATTTATTCAATTTGTCTTTTCTAAGTGTTGCTTATTTTTACATATGAATTATTGTTGATTAACATTTGCAGGTGGCAAAGGACACCCTGCTGTAGATGGTGGAATACGGGTTCCATCAATAGTCCGTTTTCCAAACCAAATACAAAAGAACATTGATATCAACGAACCAACAACTCAGATGGATATGTTCACAACAATTAGCAACTTAATTGAGGCAGACATACCAAAGGATAGACATATTGATGGGAAAGATATCATGCCTCTAATGAAACAGAAAGAAAACATTACCCCTTCCCCGTTTCTGTATCATTATTGTAACAATGAAATCCATGCAATGAGATACAGACCGCCAGAAGGTAAATTGTTCATTGTTTATTTTTCTAAATTTAACAATCTGATTGTTTTATTGATTGCTGCTCGTTTAATATCTAGTGGTAAATATTACATTGAGGTCTGTCTGAATCAATAAAAGGAAGAGAACGATTGAACAATGTCACTTAAGTAAAGCAGGGTGTCGAGAGTACGGTCACTAATGTAGTCTTATAATCTCCAAAGATTGCTGTGCAGGTTTATCAACGTGCCAAAGCATTTTATTTAATATCTGGTTTGGTTTAAAAGTCCCCTGTCAGATTAGATTTGACTATCTTTTTATGCATACTATACACAACTAAAGACCAAAGATTTATTTGAAAACAACGAACTCACTGCCACACAGACTAATCCACTAACCATGTTTCTATAATTAAGCTACCCTTAGTATCATAATGCAAAGACAATTCTGTGATGTAAAGCAAGCTGCAATTAGCCGTATGAAACAGGCAAAAAAACGACGAAAAGTAATTAAAACACGTATGGTAGGATTTCCGTGCAAACAACATGTGTTATTAAAATGAGCTTTATCAAATACGCTCGCGAATATTAAACATCTGAAAGTACCATAACCTGAGGACATAAACAGAACAGCCGAAAACGTACTACAGTCACTTTTTCTGATGAAGTTGTAATCTTAGCTTTAGTCAAACTCCGCGTGTATACAGCGTTATCGTTCAGGTCATACTTCCCTTTCTCTACAAAGAAGCGCAGCATTATTTTACCACTGTTTCGGAGGATGAGCTTTAGTATAACTACATATGATCCATGACCTGGAAATTTACAGGAAAAAAAATCATTTGAATCAGGCCACTACCTAAGACCTGACTACTAGGCTAATGGTACACACGGTGAATGATTTATGTAAAATATAGAATGAAAAACAACAATTCAATCGACAAGTGACCTATAGTTGTAAATTTGTATGTCATTTGGTCCCTTGAGGAGAGTTGTCTCATTAGCACGTATTGTTATAAGGACAACAAAGAAGATAAAACACCCAGTGCAATTATTACCCATCATCTATTTACTTTTTAATTTGAATTGTAGAATACGACTTCTTGATTAGTCAGTTAAGGCTCGTGCCCTTATACGATCTTATACTGATTATACGGAACAGTTTGTTCCCGTGGGTTGAGATGTTATGGCTTATGAAGTCTTTTTTGTTGAACGTTTTGTTGTAGAACTGCTGCTTTATTGATGCTGGTTTACCCATATTGTACTCATTTTAGGCTTACAAACGGTTTGTATTCACCGTCTAATTAATTGTTTGTTTTTATCTTATTACAAATTGCATTTCTTGCTGTTTTCATAAATTCTTTTTTTTTTTATAGGAAATAAAGTTTGGAAGCTCGTGTTTAAAGAGCCAAATTATATGCCAGGACAAGAGGAATGTGAAGGTCTAGCGTGTTTGTGCAGAAACGCTGTAATATTAAACCCTCCTGTGTTTTATGAATTGACTTCAGATCTAGGGGAACGAAAACCTATACCATCTGATTCTAGTGAAAAATATAGAAATCTTAGAGATATTATGACAAAAGAATTAAATGATCATGTGACATCTGTTGGTACTATAAATTCTCAGCTAACAGTTAGAAAACTTCTATGGAATCCCTTTCTACAACCTTGCTGTAATTTTCCTACATGTAAATGTACTGATCCTAAATATAGTTGAAATATTCTGTGGTATCGATGAGTTTCAAATATAAAAGTAAGCTATATAAAGTTATCAGACCCAGAAAATATAGTGGCGGATTTAATTATCCCAACACTAAATATGAGTATGGTTTAAATATTGTATTTTACGTATATATGTCTAACAGTCGGGGAAGTTTTTGAGTGCTACCAATTTGATGTATTAGAATCTTTTTAAATGGTAATATAAAGTATACAGGTGATAAGTTCGTCTTTCCCTTTTAAATAAAACATGAATGGGATTTAAATGATGTGTCAGTAATTTTGGTGAAGAGTTTTGGAGTAGAAAATTCGATAATTTAAATTTCTGTAAATAATCTTAATATTTCTGAATATTTAGAAACTAACTGATCCGACAAAAAATTGCAAAATAATGTGTCTGTTAAATTATTATCAAATAGTCACACTACAATATTCTGGTATATAGGAAATAGATGGAAATAGTGCGTTAAAAAAAGTCTTTCACTATAGTTTATCGTATTAGCGATTATAGGCCATTTGATCAATATACTTCGTCATAATGCTGTAATTTATGATTTGTTTTTAAAAAACAAGTTTTTATACGCCCGTCAAATTTTTGACGGGACGTATTATGGTATACAAATGTCCGGCGTCCGTCCGTCTGTCTGTCCGTCTGTCTGTCTGTCTGTCTGTCTGTCTGTCTGTCTGTCTGTCCGTCTGTCCGTCCGGCGTAAACATGTCGGACCGTAACTTGAGAATGACTTATCCAAATTTCATGAAACTTAACATAGTTGTTTCTTATGATGGTCAAACGATCTGTATACTTTTTGGTGAAAATAAGATTAAAACTTTTTGAGTTACGGGACTTAGTAACTAAAACAGGTGTGTGTTTTTTTCACTTGTCGCGCCGTATCTCAAAAACAATTTATGATTATTGCTTAAATCTTTACACACTTCTTAGTTATATTAATCTTAAGATATGATACTTTTTGGTGATGATTCAAAATTTTATTTTAGAGATATTGAGTATTTTGTTAAAAAAGGGGGAGGGGTTTTTCACATGTCGCGCCGTATCTCAAAAACGATTTATGATTATTGCTTAAAATTTTACACACTTAGTTATATTAATCTAAAGATCTGTATACTTTTTGGTTTTGATTCAAAATTTTATTTTTGAGATATTGATTTTTTTTTTTTTAAAGGGGGGTTTTCACATGTCGCGCCGTATCTCAAAAACGATTTATGATTATTGCTTAAAATTTAACACACTTCTTAGTTATATTAATCTAAAGATCTGTATACTTTTTGGTTTTGATTCAAAATTTTATTTTTAGAGATATTTAGTTTATTGTAAAAAAAAAGGGGGGTTTTCGCATGTCACGCCGTATGTCAGAAACTATTTATGCTTATTGCATAAAAATTCACACACAAGACGACGGGCGTATCATGCGCTCATGGCGCAGCTGTTTATTTTTATCGTAACACAAATTCTCTTTCATTGTTTATGTTAATGTTCATTTTTAGAAATGATGCTTTGTGTAGGCACGGCTAATAAAGGTCTCGTTGATCCATATGCAATTGAGCCAAAAGGTGGGCTAGGGTATTGGAGTACGGTCAGTTGAACTTCTCCCATCCTAGAATTAAACTCATGCCGAAGAGGGACATCCGTTTGGCTGTGCGGAATGTGAAAATACGCAGCCACGTCGAGACGGAATTGGGACTTTAACACCGGTGCCTCATGACGGCAAAGGGCCACGCTGCCTATAATTTACAGAAACCCTCTAACAACTCTTTTTGGGTCCACAGGAAGGAAAAATAAATCTTCTAATCAAGAAAATCTCTGTTATGCAAGTTGCTTCCGGAGCACCTGAGGTCATCCACGGTTTTTTGGCGGGATTTGTGTTGCTCATTCTCTAGGTTTCTATGTTGTGTTATCTGTCCTGTTGCTTGCCTTTTGTCGTTTTTTGTGTGTTTGCCATAGCACTGTCAGTTGGTTTCGACTTATAAGTTTGACTATACCTTTTGTATCTTTCACCTCTCATTTAAAATCTTAATTTCCCGCCCTTCGTCCCGGTCGACCATCTTTGCAGAAACTATTGTTCGGATTTAACGTTAATATGTTCTCGTCAATTTGCATGCAACATTTGACGTTTAGCAAACAATCAATTAATTCATATTCAGTTGTTCCTTTATTTATATCATTGGTTCATATCCAATTGATTCTCTATATTATTATTGGTTTATTACAAATTGATTTCTTATGGTCATGCATTGCGTTTCTATGTGTCTGTTAACACAGGAAGCCTATTTATTTATAGATTGCAAAAATGTCTTGATCTGTACTTAAAAGTAAATTCCGTTCTCTTTAAGTTTTGTCTTTTGTATACTGTCATATGACATTAAAAATGTATATTCCGTTCTCCTTAAGTTTTGTCTTTTGTATACTGTCATATGACATTAAAAAAGTATATTCCGTTCTCCTTAAGTTTTGTCTTTTGTATACTGTCATGTGACATTATGACATTAAAAAGGTATATTCCGTTCTCTTTAAGTTTTGTCTTTTGTATACTGTTATGTGACATTATGACATTAAAAAAGTATATTCCGTTCTCTTTAAGTTTTGTCTTTTGTATACTGTCATGTGATAATTGTTTAATATCTATCATTTTCGTATATTTTGTAAAATAAAGTATTAATGATACTTCAATTGATAAAAAAAGTTTCTTCATTTACTAGTATATAAAATAAGATGTGGTTTGATTGCCAATGGGACAGCTATCCAACAGAGTCCAAAACGGAGAGGATTTGAGCAACGGTAGGAACAACATCCATACCGTATAGCAGGCTACAAAAGGTCCCGGCATGACAAAACGTGAAACAATTTAAAAGTAAAAACCAACGGCCTGATTTATGACAAAACATTAAACGAAAAACAAATATGATATACAACAACCGATTACACACAGTGGATTACAGCATCCTGACTTGGGACATGCACATCTAGAATGAGGCGGTTCTGAACCTGTTTGTGAGCGCACCCCCCCCCCCCCCCTTTTCCCCCCTTAACCTTGGACAGTGTTGATATAGCAACACATAAAAACACACTGAAAACATCAGTTGGAAAGTGCTTGGCTCATCAGAGCGGCACATAGTTGTTGCACATTACAAAATTGAACAACACTCTCAAGTAAAAACCATCTTTGTAACATCTTGTCGATCATTTTTTAAACATCACTGAACACTGGAAAGATCCCAGACGACTGGCTTCATGCAAGTGTATGTCCAGCAATAAAAAAAGGCGACAAACGCGATTATATAAACTATCGCCCCATATCATTAACATGCATCTGCTGCAAACTTGTAGAACATGTTGCAGCTAGAAATATTATGAAACATCTAGAAAAAAAATTCTAAATGACTTTCAACATTGTTTTTGATCATCCCGTTCCTGTGAAACTCAGTTAATATCTGTCATTATCATTTATTCAAGATCTTGCGAATTCAAATAATAAAAACATTCAAACTGACATCATAATAATGAATTTTTACAAAAGCATTTGACAAAGTTTCACACCCTCACCTCATGTATAAAATCGGCTTCTATGGTATAAATTGAAATGCATTAACAAACAGAACAAAAACTGTAATCCTTGAAGGAGAAGTAAAATTCCTGTAACATCTGGTGTCATTAAGGCACAGTGCTTAGACCAATCTTATTCTTAATATATATTAATGATATGGCAAAATATATCAAACATAGTACATCAAGATTATTCGCAGATGATAGCATTATGTATAAGGAAATTAAGAAACCAGATGACATAAATAAATCACAGTCTGATTTAGAAGCGGCTGGCAGATGGGAGCGGGACTGGCTCATGCATTTTCAACCTGATAAATGCAATATTCTCAGTGTAACACAAAAATGAAACCTAAACTTCACTTACAAATTGCATAATCACTCACTCGAAAAAGTTGATTCTACAAAATAATTAGGCCTAACTCTTCAATCAAACATTAAATGGGATAAACGTATCGATAACATGTCATCAAAAGCAAATCAGTCTCTTAGATTCATTTGCAGAAACCTTAAAATTTACCTCACCTTAAGTTAAAACTCATGCATTCAAAGCTCTTGTCCGACCAAAATTAGAGTATTGCTCAACCATTTGGGATCCACATTGAAAAAAAAACGATTTTTCACAAATTGTAAAAGTACAGATAAGAGCAGCCCGCTTCACATGCAACCGCTCTGATATGATGACAGACCTAAATTAGTACCCAATTGAAGTTAGGCGATTAAGATACAGACTTGAATTCTTTTACAACATTATACATGAATTGTTGCAGTCCCTACATTTAATCTTTTGATCCCACTAGCCATTGTCAATAGAACCAGACATAGCAATCCACACTCATTTAGGCAAATACAAACATCTAAAGACAGTTATAAATATTTCTTTTTATCCGCGTACAGTTCAGTAAATTGTAATTAATTGCCACAACAAATAAGTTCATGCAGTAGAGTACAAGGGTTTAAGAGTATGTTGCTAGAATCTGTTCTAATCCCTATATAGTCTTCCCTTTTAAGGATGTTCGCTCCTCTTGTTTTTGAATATTTTGCCAGATTTTCGGAATCCTCTGGTTTTATCCATGTTTTGCCATTAAAAAAATTTGCCCGCTAACCCCTACTTTTCTTTTCATAATTTTATTACATATATTTTAAAAAGCCATATTTGAAAATGTGATAAAATCCTTGTTATTTTTTCATTGATTTTGAAAGAAAAAAGGTGCCCATGTTAAATGTATGAAAAATCTACAGAGAATCATTTCCCGCCAATTTTTCAAGTCTTATATCTCGAAAATAAGGTTACGGACCCTTCATTTTTTTCTGCTTTTTTAGTTCCATTATTTATCTACTATCAATTTATATCAATCTTTTAAAAAGCTTGCTATTTTGAAACAGAGCAGCGAACATCCTTAACTGATATGGTTATCAAATGTTTATCTTTATTTCAAATCAATTTTTATACATTTGTTATAGTCGACGCCCGGCGTATAATCTTCAATTATAATGAAGGATTGCTAGAAACTGAAAGAAGAAGAAAATCCTGTTGTATCGTAATTTGTTAAGAAACCAGGTGTATGGACTGTACTCTAATGAATTGTAATAATTTCATTAATCCTGACCAATACAAAACTATCACAATCAGCCTACATCTACGACCTTCAAGTTGACCATGTTGACCATGTTGACAATTGAGATGTAAAAGTATGTTAACTGGATTCTTAAATAAAATGCCGACATTTAAAAAAAAAGTTTTAAGCGAGTTTTTCTTTCTGAATCAATATCATCATGTCGAAGTAACTGAAGCATTCACTTTCAGTTGTAAAATCTAGCAACCATGCAACTCCGAAAAGGTGCTCATGCAGTTAAAGAGTTTAAAGGACCTAAAAGACGTGAATTTAACTGTTTAATATGGCTTTGCGTTATTTAAAATTTCCAAAGTTTTAGACTACGAGTCAAGTAGATCGGTCAGTGAGATCGGTACTTTAATTGTGTCGCTTTACTTTTATTTTTAATTAGTTGCTTTTTTAGTGCTGCGTGTCAATCTGATGAATTCAATATAACAATATTTAGTTATAACATACCCATCATGAAAGGGAGATAATTATATCAAAACATCATCAAAAGGTAAATGTTTTACTATACACGTACAGATTAATGTTTGTGTACAAAATCTGTTAATATTTATTCAATTACAATATAATACATCAATAGATTCTTATAAGTGAATCCCGTTAAAGAGAATCAAGCAAAGCTATCATGTGTAATTATATAGATATTTACAATTTCGATCAACTCAGTCCAAACAATTTTATGTTATCTTTTATATACAATATATATGATATATCAAAGGTCATAATGTAGGTCGTTATTTGCTAAAGTAAACACGGAATAGTACATGTAGTGCTCCTTATTACAATCTGCCTTGAAAAGGGACACAAATTGAAGATTCGCTTTGAACAAGTGGAGATCAGAAGAAACCGGTCAGGCTTGCATTGTAAGTTCAACGGTAAAGTAGATCGTAAACAGTTGAACCGGTTAAATTCGAAATCAAACACTTTTCTTTTTCACAGTTTGTAATATGTTGCCTAAATCTAAACACGATCAAATGATCATAAATTGTTTTCAAAATACGCAGTTCTGTTATATTTCGACATGATTTATTGACTATATATATTGGAATCGTAATTTTGCTTGACGACATTCTACTAAAAGTACTTTGCGTAAATTCCGAGTATTGAAAATTTTGTGAAATACTACAAACTGGTAACTCTTACTTTATCTCTTCTTCAAAATACTGCCCACATTCAGCAATGTATGTGAAGTTAGCAGCCGGTTCGTTATTCGATATTCGATATTCAATATCCAACCGGCTGCTAGCAGTCGGTTGGATATTCAAAATTTAGTTGAAAATCATAAAAAAATTAAATACTTGATAACATTAAAAGCACGATTTTCATAGTTTAGAGGACTGATAAGATGCGTAGGAAATCGTTTAATGACCTCTTCAAGCTGTCGTAAATTCTCGAATATAAACCTGTTTCTAAGTTGCATATTTGTCTTTATGTAATATAGATTTTTATCAATAAAACAACTTCAAATATGTACTTTTATATATGATATTTCTTAACACAAAAGGAAAAACCTATAACTCTAGAAACATTTAGAAATATAAATAGAAATATTTATGGAAAGCCCAAAAAAGAAATATATAGTGAAAACCTACCTGACACCGCTTAAATGAGGGTGAGACCCCCCTGGTCTTTCAATGGCCATAAAATTCAACTTAATCATAGACTCTGTATATGTAAAGGTTGTATTAGAAGGATTTTCCAGAATAATGTCATCTTCGATATCTACGGAGGGCTTAGATTGTCACTTTTCAGCTAAAAATTGTCAAAATTTTAGGACGAAAGGCACAGGGCAATGGTGAGAGCCCCCTGATCTCTCCATCTTTCTAATATTATGCAGACATTTAGTTAATAGGTAGATACAAACGTGACTTAAAGGAATTTGGGTACACTTTCTGTCTTCCATGTTTACGGAGCGCCCAAAGTGCCAGTTGGATATTCAAAATATAAAGTGAAAACCTACCTGACACCGCTTAAATGAGGGTGAGACCCCCCTGGTCTTTCAATGGCCATAAAATTCAACTTAATCATAGACTCTGTATATGTAAAGGTTGTATTAGAAGGATTTTCCAGAATAATGTCATCTTCGATATCTACGGAGGGCTTAGATTGTCACTTTTCAGCTAAAAATTGTCAAAATTTTAGGACGAAAGGCACAGGGCAATGGTGAGAGCCCCCTGATCTCTCCATCTTTCTAATATTATGCAGACATTTAGTTAATAGGTAGATACAAACGTGACTTAAAGGAATTTGGGTACACTTTCTGTCTTCCATGTTTACGGAGCGCCCAAAGTGCCAGTTGGATATTCAAAATATAAAGTGAAAACCTACCTGACACCGCTTAA